TTCGAATACTGCTTGGAAAAACTGCTTGTATGGCCTGAAAATAATTCTCTTTCTTGTTTTTTTCTGTCGTCTCTTCGAAATCTTGGTCAATTTTTAACTTAAATATTTTTCAGTTGTCTGTAAAAATATCAGCATTTCGCACAATATTAACGAATAACATAATGACAGTGGTGGAACCACGTGGCAGCTTTTGTTGTCGCACGGATAGGCTAGCTCGAATCGGGGTGGTACCACGACCTCACAGAATACCAGCGTGAAGTAGAGGTTTATCTCTGCGTTTCGATAGGTAAGTGCAGGTGGCCGAAGGTCCAATCAAATCTTCAAATCCTTAAAATGATAAACTTAAATATAAATCCTTAAAATAAAAATCAAAAAACGACCTCAGGAGCGTATTAGCACCCCTGGTGTCAGAGAATCCCTCGCTTAGTGTCTTAGCTATCTTACTCTTACTGTGTGTGGGTGTTTAGGCTGTCCTGCGTATTCTGGGGGCAGGGGAATTATGCTCTCAACTAAAACTAAATATATATATCAGGGACGTCATTCTTAACTTAACGATGTTCACTACCATCATACCATATCATAGAGATGGCGAAGCTACTTTTAACCAAGACTCAAGTGTCCTCTTTGGCTGACACTTTATATATTTCCTACCTAGAGTACAAGAACACTCCTTTGTGCCCCGAGCTGGAGTTTACGAAAACGTCAGAGAGGACATCTATTTTTGACGCCTCAGCAGTCTTTAAGATACGGACCTGTCTATCCTATGGCTACGCGTAGACAGCGAAGGCCATCCCCGCGTTTACGGGTGCCTCTATCGGTCCCATAGCGGTAACAGACCAACTCAACGACCACGTCCAAATGGCTACAGATTCTTAGCTACAGCCGATCCTATCCACGAAGATCGGGTACCTTGGCGATTTTAACGCCCACACGCCGAATGGCTCGGTTCACGATCATGCGTGGAGATCTGTTTATGCCTTTGCCTTGCCATATGGTCTTACACAGCTGGTTACTTTACCTACGCGGATTACAGATGTGGAGAATCGTGCACCTTCCCTATTGGACTTTCTGCTGACCCCTCATCTGGATGGATATCAGGTTTCCGTCGATCCCCTCTAAGCTTCGTAGACCATTGTCTTATCCAGAGTGTTTCTTTTTCCTTTTGATGCACTCGCAGCAGAAGGTATCCGTGAGAATTACCCATGTTAAAAAACTGCCGCCGTGTTTGGCACTATATGTGGGCTGATTAGAATAGGATGCGGTCTTTTCTTGTATCCTATCCTTGGGGGCCGGGTTGCTTCTTAAGCCTTGTTGCTGATTTTGTCACTGTTGTGGTATTTCAGGATATGGAACTTTATTCTATCCTCTGTAGTTAGTAGAAATCGAAGGCAGATCCTAGCCATGGTTTGGTCGCTTCTGTAAAATAGCTATAAGCATGTGTGCTACCGGGCCTAGGCTGACACAACACCTTATCATCATATGGGGTATAAACACCAGCCCTCTTAAAAATAAGTAGAATTCCACCTCCAGATCCTTCAAACGAGTCACTATCAAGGCAAGGTCCGAGCACTTGGCGGGATTGGGTAACGGCTAGTTCGCCTTCCTTCGGGAACAAATGCATTCCAGTTTTTGCAAAGGCTGTTTAAAGGAACTTCTGTCAGCCATCTTTTCCATCTCTGCACGGGGAGGTCGGGCCCATGCCGCAAAAGAAAAAGCCGATCTGCTAGGCTCTTTCTTTGCGTCCAACTCAACTCTCGAAGACGGGGGGAACACACCGCCAACCCTCCCGCATTGTGAGTGCTCCGTTCTGGATGCACGGTTTACACAACATTTTGAAGATCACCAGCTGACTGGTGACCGCACATACGGTTTTCGTCGTGATTGATCACCTTGTGAATTTCTAGTCTACCTGACTCATATATAGATAGATGGGCGGAGTCAATAGAGTCCAAGGGGAAGGTATTGACCATTAGTTTGGACATAGCGAAGGCATTCGATCGAGTCTGGCACAAAGCGCTTCCTTCAACGTTCCCTTCAAGTGGGCTTACCGAGAAATTATTCAATTGGGTAAATAGTTTCCTTGATGATCGTGGCATAAAAGTCTTAGCTGGCGGCACATGCTCTGATTACAAGCCTATTGACGCTGTTGTTCCACAAGGCTGTGTGATATCACCAACGCTGTTTCTTCTGCATATCATTTAAACGTTGCAAACAGATAACATTCATTACTAACAAACGCCAGCACTGTTCATGCCTTATACACCAGCCGCGCCAATATTTCTCGGGAAAACGTCACCCAGTACCAAGACAAATTTGTGTCTGAAGTCCAGTCTTTCCTGAAAAAAGTTTTGGATTGGTGGCAATTTAATTTAGTCCAGTTCAATCTCCAGAAAACACAAGTTTGCGAATTTACCACTAAAAAAACCCCTTTGTTGTATCTCTTCAGTTTCAAGAAGTTCCCCTTGCCATTTCAGCTAGCATCCTCCTCGCCATCGACATATAGAACAGTGTGCAGTTTCGTGATCACTTGGAATGGTAGGTCAAATTGGCCTCTAAAAGCTTAGCGTGCCCAGCAGTGTGGGACAGTATTTCATGCTGGCACATCGGTTGTAACTTTATAAAGTCCAAGTTCATCTTCACAAGGAATATTGTTCTTATGTTTGGGTCAGGGCACCCCAGTGTCAACTCTTTTCACTTGACCGCATCCAGCGCAGAGCGGTTCGCATCGTCGACGACCGAGTTATTTTTGATTGGCTCGATTCACTGGCACTGCGTAGGGATGTTGTATCCCTTTGCATTTTCTAACGCATTTACCGTGGGGAAATGCTCCGAGGAGTTGTGTGGATTAGTTTCAATTGCCAAATGTCGGGAACGTACATCGCTTCAAAATTTACGATACTATCTTCAACATCTCGTATGCCTGACGGTCCACTACCGTGCGTTTAACTGGGAGTTTCTTCCTCGTCCAACTTCTCTGTAAAATTGTTTACCAGCGGTGATTTTTCGGACCGATACAGACTAAAGACCTTTAAAAAAATAGCTTACTCCTTTCTAAAATGCAGGCAATGCACCTGCAATTCCCCTGGTGTTGCAATTGCTCATGAGCAGCGGTAGATTTTACCATCAGCTGTCTCGCATGCTCGTTTGTCCTCTCTTCTATAAAAAAATGATATTTTAAATACTTAACTTTCTAAATCGGTCAATCACATTAAAGAATTAAGCGACATGCATAGATGCATAAATTTTAACGTAGCTCTTCGTGATATAGCAACTAATAATTATAAACCATCATCCCACTTTCCGTCTCGAGATTTTCTCAATACGCTACTGAAATATTTAAAAAACCTTGTGACCTTAAGGTGGTAAAACAGTCCAGTAATTTTACAAGATGTTAATAAATATGCATTATACAACGTGATAGAGAGAGGAACACTGCAGAATTTGATGATTGTAACACAAATGAGCCCATTTACAAAGCCATAACATACTGTAACAATAAATACTGCAGTTGTCGACCCGTACTCCAAGCATTGGTAAATAATACAAATACATGGCAATCTATAAGAAAAACCCTAATTTCAGCGATCTACTTGTGATTGACTGCAATGAATTAAATAGGAATAAAATGCAATAAATAATAAAATATCAGGTCCAATACCTATGGAGTTAAACAACTTTCTTGTATTAGTTACGGTGATCCATTTACGGTTGATAACGAAGTCCGTAACAACCCCGAATGGGTAAATCAACAGATACATCACCAGGTAGGGAAGAGAAGAATAAACACCATTCTGTAACAAAAAAAAAATACAAAAAAACTGGCCACGCACAATATAGAGGTAGAGTTCCGTAGTTGCCCGTCACAATACATTGGCTGTCTTAAAAAGGAGCATCAACATGAATAAAACTATTTATACGGATTTTATTGCGTTTAATTAACATATTTTTAACTTATATTTTTAATACCCGACGTTTCGGGTGTTTTACAGCACCCACAGTTCCGGATGAACTTAGATGTCTGTCGTCCCAATATCATAGTTAGCCCGGCTACCTTCAGTTTTTTAATATTATTTTTGATGCGATCTACGCAGAACAAGCTTACAGTATCTTGAAGTCTTGCAGTTCTATGCTTGGGTTAGGATTTAATTTTATTAAGTATAGGATGTCAAGCAGACGGCAGCACCTAGCCTTATTCTCTATTGAAATTAGGATGTTTTTTTAATTCTAATAGCCTCGCGTACCATTCTTGGTAGAAATCGATGTTCCTTTGCGGGGATTTGTGGTTTATCAAATCTGATGTAATGGTGGGGACGATCTTGAACTAACTTGACTACAGACTTCCCGGAGAGTCGGTGCTTTACGATAGCTATATTTTATTTCACAAAACGTTTTATATATCTTTTTAGTTTGTCCTATGTAAGAGAGATCACATTCACAATCCATTAATAATAATAATAATAAATAATAATAAGGCGTAGGGAAGTGACGACCCCATCGCCCGCTGACGTAACGGTTATGTGACAAAACCGGTACGTCAGCGCAGTTAGTCAGCACCTTACCGAGGTGTTAGTGCCATGCCTCGGCAAAAATTGAAGGTGCAAAGGCCCGCTTGTGCTCATGGCCTCACCATGAAACGGCACCGGGTCTGGGCGTCTCTCACTAAATGACGCCCACCACTATGGATGATGGAATACGGAAGAACGCGCAAAGGGCCGCTGCCTGGAGGTCGCCAGGGCGCGTCTGGAGCTGGCGCTGGACGCGACAGCATGCGAACCGCCAGCCGAGCGCGAGGTACTGCACGACCACCCAGCAGCCCCTCGCATCCATCATCCCCACCAGCTGGTTTGGTGTCGGCAGGGTCTTCGCGGGCCCAGCAATCGGCACCCGCCACTGGTAGAGTACGCCGCATGCGTTGGACAACCCAGATGAACAGCAACGCATTGCGGGCGTATTTTAGGGCGAAAGGGGGAGAAACTGGAGATTTTGCGTATCGGGCAAGGATGCATCGAATTTTTGCTGAGCTAGAGCCATCTGTAACCGTCACCGAGCAAAACCTGGCAGACCGAGTTCGGTATATCTTGCGCTCAAATACATTTGATGTCACCGAACTCAAACGGCTACGACGTGAGGCTGTTCCTTCATCGGGTGAAAATGCTGCGGCTGAGGATGCGGCGCCACAACTTGCTGAGCAAACGGCAAATGTGGATGCCGCCGTGAATACGCCAGTTGTGGTTGATTCAAACGATGATGGAACAGTCGCCCAGGAACTGGAACTAGAGTAAATGAGGAGTACATTGGAGGAGGCGATTGTGGAAACGCGCAGTACGCCTCTCGAAAATCGACCGCGACTTCCCCGCTTAGCCCTAAGCAAGCGAAATCGGGCTGTAGTGAGGACTCTGAACCCAATGCTGGTTACCGATTTGGAAGCCAACCGTGACCTTTGCGAGACGGACTCAATTCTTTTTGGCGCCGCACTGGCAGTCTGCCGTATTACAGGTGCCAAACTTTCCACGGCTGGATGCGCTACTGGACAAAGTAGTGCTATCACAGCCTGGAGAATAAGAATTGAAGAACGTATCGCAAAGGCTAGGGCCCTCATCGGCAGACTTATATGCTTCAGGTCAGGCAATACCAGGCCAAGGATTGTGCGCACTGTCAGGATGGCGATTGCTGGGACAAATGTTAGTTTGTCCCAGCCGGATATAACGCAAAAACTAACGGAGCGTATAGACGACCTGAAGCACATAATAGCTGCTTGAGGAAAGCGGATTCGGCGATATACCGAGAGGTCGACACAGTTCAACCAGAATCGTCTCTTCCAGAGTGATCAGAAGAGGCTCTATAAATCATTGGAGCGACCAATAGTAAGTGGAACGGGCCCTGCACCAAATCAGGCCGACATGGTCGCATTCTGGCGCAGCCTGTGGTCAGAGCCCGTAAACCACAACGAGGGCCCTTGGACGGAAGTTGTGGCGAGTCAGTGTGCGGGTATTACGCTCATGGACCCCGTCATCATAACGCCGGATGACGTAGCTGAGGCGGTCCGTAGGGCCCCGAACTGTAAAAGTACGGGGCTTGACGGGCTGCATCACTACTGGCTGAAGGGGTTCATGGTGTGTCACGCTGTGCTCGCTCGACAGTTTCAAGAGGCTCTCAACCAGAAGTCGCTCCCAAGCCTCTTCACTACTGGGATCACTCATTTGGTTCCTAAAGATCAGGGTGCCACAGACCCGAGCAAATACCGCCCCATCACGTGTCTACCGACTATATACAAGACACTAACATCCATTTTGAGCGCGAGAATCGCTCGTCACCTGGACTCAAATCAGGTGATGTGGCGCGTTCAAAATGGATGTCGGGGCGGCGGTCGCGGAACCAAGGAACCACTCCTCATTGACGCGGTCATTGGCAAAGTGGTGAAACGCAACCGTCGGAACTTCTCCGCCGCTTGGATAGATTACAGAAAGGCATTTGACTCGGTTCCCCATACATGGCTAAAGAGGGTCCTCAAGCTGTGCAAGATTGACTGTACAGTTCGAGACTTCCTCGAGCAGTGTATGGGGCAGTATAGTACGATCCTCTGTCATTTAGGCGAGCGGATGACGGCTGCGGAAAGCCGCATAAGGATAAGAAGGGGTATATTCCAGGGCGACTGTCTGAGTCCAATCTGGTTCTGCCTCTCTTTGAACCCTCTCAGTACTTTACTGGAGGGCTCCGGGAGGGGATTTCAGCTTCGGAAAGGAGGTACAAAAGTGACTCACCTTTTCTATATGGATGATCTCAAATTATTCGCCTCCAGTCACTCCCATCTTATGGAATTCCTAAACATCACTTGTGAATTTAGCAATTCTATTAAAATGGAGCTGGGGACGGATAAGTGTGCGGTCCTCCATGTTGAAAGGCGAAGGGTCGCTAACTCTGAGGGCATAGACTTATCTATGCCCGTCAACTTAATAACCCTTTCCGAGGCTGAAACATACCGATACCTGGGTATGTCACAGAACATCGGTATCGATGAGGCTGGTATGAAACAGTCAGTTTGCGACGTGTTTTATGCACGCTTGACCAAAGTGCTTAACAGCCTTTTGTCCGGTGTGAATAAGACACATGCATATAACGGTTGGGTCATGCCTGTTCTCATGTATACCTTTGGCATACTTAGGTGGAGTCAGACAGAACTTAACGCCCTGGATAGAAAAGTCCGCACTACAATGATGTCCCATAGGATGCATCATCCGAGATCGTCGGTAATGAGGCTGACTCGCCGCGAAAGCATGGTGGGCGTGGCTTCCTGAGCGCGCTCACCATGCATAATCGCGAAGTGTGCAGCCTCCGTCATTACTTTCTGGCGAGATCGGATGATCCATTCTATAATGACGTTATTTCTAGTGATAAAGGACTTACCCCTCTATCCTTAGCCAACGAGCAATAGCAAGACCCGGCAGTACAGAGCATTTCCGACCGGGAGACCGTATGGATGGAGAAGGAGCTCCATGGGAGGTACTACAGGGCTCTACATGAGCCTCACGTAGATACAGCCGCCTCCCTCAACTGGCTACGTTTCGGTGACCTTTTCGGGGAAACCGAGGGTTTTGTCTGTGCAATACAGGATCAGGTTATTAAGACCAACAACTATCGGAGATACATCCTAAAGGATAGCTCTACGTCTGTCGAGCTTGTCGCCATCCCGGGGAGTCACTTAGGCATGTAGTTTTTGTATTTATTTTATTTTATTGAGATTTATGTACATTTATCTTTTCATTTTAATTTATAATTATATATTTATAGAACCCAACCAGGTGAAAAAATTATGTAGATACCCCAAATAATAATAATAATAATAATAACGAACTCGAACGGCTACGACGTGAGACTGTTCACTCGTCGGATGAGAATGCTACGGCTGAGGATGCGGCGCCACAAATGGTAGAGCAACCCGCAAACGTGGATGCCGCCGTGAATACCCCAGTTGTAGTTGATTCAAACGATGATGGAACAGTCGCCCAGGAACTGGAATTAGAGCATATGAGGAGTACATTGGAAGAGGCGATTATGGAAACGCGCAGTACGCCTCTCGAAAATCGACCGCGAGTTCCCCGCATAGCCCTAAGCAAGCGGAATCGGGCTGTCGTGAGGGCTCTGAACCCAATGCTGGTGACCTATTTGGAAGCCAGCCGTGACCTTTGCGAGACGAACTCAATTCTTTTTGGCGCCGCGCTGGCAGTCTGCCGTATCATAGGCGTCAAGGTTTCCACGGCTGGACGCGCTACTGGCCATAGTAGCGCTATCCCAGCATGGAGTAGATGAATTGAGGAACGTATCGCAAAGGCTAGAGCTCTCATCGGCAGACTGATATGCTTCAGATCAGGCAACAACAGGCTAAGAATTGTGCGCACCATCAGGATGGCGTTTGCTTGGACAAATGTCAGTTTGTTCCAGCCGGATATAACGCAAAAACTGACGGAGCGCATAGATGATCTGAAGCAGAGAATCGCAGCTTGGGGAAAGCGGATTCGGCGATATACCGAGAGGTCGACACGGTTCAACCAGAATAGTCTCTTCCAGAGTGATCAAAAGAGGCTCTATGAATCATTGGAGCGATCAATGGTAAGTGGAACGGGTCCAGCACCGAATCAGGCCGACACAGTAGCATTCTGGCGCGGCCTGTGGTCAGAGCCCGTAAACCACAGCGAGGGCCCTTGGACGGAAGTTGTGGCGAGTCAGTGTGCGGGTATTACGCCCATGGATCCCGTCATCATAACGCCGGATGACGTAGCTGAGGCGGTCCGTAGGGCCCCGAACTGGAAAAGTCCGGGGCTTGACGGGCTGCATCACTACTGGCTGAAGGGGTTCATGGTGTGTCACTCTGTGCTCGCCTGACAGTTTCAAGAGGCTCTCAACCAGAAGTCGCTCCCAAGCCTCTTCACTACTGGGATCACTCATTTGGTTCCTAAAGACCAGGGTACCACAGACTCGAGCAAATACCGCCCCATCACGTGTCTACCGACCATATACAAGACTCTAACATCCATTTTAAGCGCGAGAATCACTTGTCACCTGGACTCAAATCAGGTGATGTCGCGCACTCAAAATGGATGTCGGGGCGGTGGTCGTGGAACCAAGGAACCACTCCTCATTGACGCGGTCATTGGCAAAGTGGTGAAACGCAACCGTCAGAACTTCTCCGCCGCCTGGATAGACTACAGAAAGGCATTCGACTCGGTGCCCCATACATGGCTAAAGAGAGTCCTCGAGCTGAACAAGATAGACTGTACAGTTAGAAACTTCTTCGTGCAGTGTATGGGGCAGTGGATTACGATCCTTTGTCATCTGGGCGAGCGGATGATGGCTGCGGAGAACCACATAAGGATAAGAAGGGGTATCTTCCAGGGCGATTGTCTGAGTTCAATCTGGTTCTGCCTCTCTCTGAACCCTCTCAGTACCTTACTGGAGGGCTCCGGGAGGGGATTTCAGCTTCGGAAAGGAGGAACAAAAGTGACCCACCTTTTCTATATGGATGACCTCAAGTTATTCGTTCCAGTCGCTCCCATCTTATGGAATTGCTAAACATCACTTGTGAATTTAGCAATTCCATTGGAATGGAGCTGGGGACGGATAAGTGTGCGGTCCTCCATGTTGAAAGGGGAAGGGTTGCTAACTCTGAGGGCATAGACTTATCCCGTCAACTTAATAACCCTTTCCGAGGCTGAAACATATCGATACCTGGGTATGTCACAAAACATCGGTATCGATGAGACTGGTATGAAACAGTCAGTTTGCGTCGTGTTTTATGCACGCTTGACCAAAGTGCTTAACAGCCTTTTGTCCGGTGTGAATAAGACACATGCATACGGTTGGGTCATGCCTGTCCTCATGTATATTTTGGCATACTCAGGTGGACTCAGACTGAACTTAACGCCCTGGATAGAAAAGTCCGCACTACCATGACGACCCATAGGATTCATCATCCGAGATCGTCGGTAATGAGGCTGTACTTGCCGCGGAAGCATGGTGGTCGTGGCTTCTTTAGCGCGCTCACCATGCATAATCGCGAAGTGTACAGCCTCCGTGATTACTTCCTGGCGAGATCGGATGATCCATTCTATAAGGACGTCATTTCTTGTGATAAAGGACTTACCCCTCTATCCTTAGCCAACGAGCAACGGCAAGACCCGGCAGTGCTGAGCATTTCCGACCGGGAGACCGTATGGAAGGAGAAGGAGATCCACGGGAGGTTCTACAAGGCTCTACATGAGCCTTTCGTAGACACAGTAGCCTCCCTCCACTGGCTACGCTTTGGTGATCTCTTCGGGGAAACCGAGGTTTTGTCTGTGCAATACAGGATCAGGTTATTAAGACCAACAACTATCGGAGATACATCCTAAAGGATGGCACCGTCGACATCTGTCGAGCTTGTCGCCATCTCGGTGAGTCACTTTGGCATGTTATCTCCGGTTGTTCGGCGCTTTCTAACTCTGAGTACTTGCACAGGCACAACCAAGTAGCCAGAATTCTACACCAGGAGCTCGCTCTGAAATACCGTCTCGTGGATCGGAAATTGCCGTATTACAAGTACTTGCCGGAAGCCGTGCTCGAAAATGATCGCGCCAGGCTCTATTGGGACCGGGCCATCATCACAGACAGGACTATTCTTGCGAATAAGCCTGATATTGTGCTGATGGACCGGGCACAGTCAAGGATATTTTTGGTCGACATTACCGTTCCGTATGACGAGAACCTTGTGAAAGCCGAAACAGATAAGCAAACAAAATATCTGGACCTGGCTCACGAGGTGACTGACATGTGGGGTGGTCTGCCGACCGAAATTATTCCTGTAGTCGTCTCTGCGAATGGGCTAATGCCAGGCAGCCTCTCGGGTCATCTGAGGCGGCTGGGACTACGTGGCGGACCGCTCCAGGCTCAAATGCAGAAGGCGGTGCTCCTCGATACCGCCGGCATCGTCCGCCGGTTTCTTTCCCTTTCCCCCTAACCCTCAGCCGTTTGGTCTCCCCTGCCGAGGCCTCCATCTGGTTGGGCTTTTATTTATTTATGTTCTTTTATATTTATTTTTTGTTATTGATATTTATGTATATTTATCTTTTCATTTTCATTTATAATTATATATTTATAGAACCCAACCAGATGAGAAAACTATATAGATACCCCACAATAATAATAATAATTTCATTTATTCGCTTAAATATGGTACATCAGAGGTGACAAATATTGGATATTGTATATAGTCCACATGTTTACCACATCTGGCATGCGAAAATTATTAATTAAATGAAAAGACATAGTCATGTACCTACATTGGTTAATTTAAAACAAATAAATATAAATTAAAAATGTTAAAACTACAATCATTATTTAAATCAAAGAATTTAAATATGCATTATTCATTTAAAATCTACAGATTACACAAAAAATTGTCTAAAAGAATACAATAATATCAAATTCAGGCAACAAGATTCTATTCATTTAAAAATTGTTTTACATCATAAACGCACTTTAATAGTAGCCAGCTTTTTAGTTTGGTTTTAAATTTACCAGTTTTTGTCTCTTCTTTAATGTTTACCGGAAGTTTATTATAAATTTTTACACTCATCGCGTAGCAGCCATTATGATAAAATGCAGTTTTAGGTATACGTTCTATTCGGGGGCTACGTCGTGTCCCCCGGCCACCGTAGGCGCGGGCCTGTGGACGGCGAGCAATGGGTAGCTCGCCGTCCGTCCGTCTAACGACGACAGGCCGTGTCGACGGCGCGTTTTGTTCCACGCGCGCCTCAAAGAGCTGTCAGCAGCGTGAAGGGGCCCGCAAGGGCCGACGCCTGCCGGGGCTGCGGGCTGTTCGAAAGAGATACCGCGGCTCCGGAACGTAAGGGCACTGAAGGAACACGGATGGTTTTTAGTCAGTAAAAGTCTGACACTCCCTTACGCTCCACCCAGAGCGAAAGGCGTCATTAGATGATTTTCCATCCGCAAAAAAAAATAAGGTATACGTTCTATAACTAGTCAATTAGAATTTCGATTGCTACGCAAGTATACCTCAGATGCTTTTTTGTACATATGTAAATGTTTTTTTACATGAACACTTGCTTCAAATAGCTTGTAAGCTCCTGCATCTTGTAAATTAGTATATAGTGTTTTTTTACATGAACACTTGCTTTAAATAGCTTGTAAGCTCCTGCATCTTGTAGATTAGTATGATCATGTAGATCAATCTTGTAAATCAAATCAAGATTTTGACTAAAATAAATTCCAAAACCCTTCTGATCTTGCTCTTTATTTACTCCTAATATTTTCTTACAATTCATTCAGCCATCCGGAAGAAAAGCCCGGACATATAGACATACTGACAAACAAACAGACAAGAAAATTAAAAATAATTATTTATATCTTCAAATCCAGTAAGTTTAATATTACAGACAGACACTTCAATTTACCATTTATATGTATAGATGATGCGTAAAATACGAGGGTGGATTGAAAAGTACTCGGCCTAACCAAGAAAATAAACACATACTAAATCAGTTATATTTTTATTTTTCTACATAATCACCATCAAGTTCAATACACTTTTGCCACCTCCCCTTCCAAGCATTTAGACCGTTGAAAAAAAATGATTCTTCCTTAGAGTCAAAATATGCGTCTACAGCTGCTTTGACCTCGTCGTTTGTCGAAAATCTTTGACCTCCCAAGTGCTTTTTTAGGTTAGGGAACAGAAAGAAGTCTGATGGTGCCAGATCAGGTGAATACGGCGGATGAGGTAACAGTTCAAAGCCACAGTTGTGAATTTCAGCCATTGACTGTACTGACGTGTGAACACGGGCGTTATCTTGATGAAACAGGACTTTTCTTCTGAGCATTCCTCGACGTTTTTCTTTTATTTCCTCTCGTAAACGACGTAGTAAGGTGCAGTAGTAATCAGAATTTATAGTCTGACCCCTTTCAAGATAATTAATCATAATCACACCTTTCGAGCCCCAGAATACTGAAGCCATCACCTTATTTGCCGACAAAATCGACTTAGCCTTTTTTAGGGGTGGTGAACCAGGTCTTCTCCACTGTTTTGATTGTTGTTTTGTTTCCGGTGTACAGTAATGAACCCATGTTTCGTCCATAGTAACAAAACGATTCAAAAAATCATCTGCATCGGCTTCAAATAACTCCAAACAGTCGCGTGAAATAGTCAATCGCGTCCTTTTTTGTTCAACTGAAAGCAGGCGCGGAACCCACCTCGCAGACACCTTGTGGAAACCCAACTCGTTGACAATGATGTTTTGAGTTCGTTCATAAGAGATGCC